ATATCAATGTATACTATACTTTATTTAACTCAAGATACGATAGAAGATAGGTATTACGAAGTATGTGCATAAATTAGAGGTTACATAATTAGGGACTAGAGTTCACCTATTAGAGGTTAGGGTATTATATTATGTCCCAAAAAACTCCGGTTAATTCGGGTCTAAATAGTAAAACTCAATGGTCGTATGGTAGTATGAACACAAGATCATAGCGTACTCCTGGCGCACGCTAGCTCGAACTATATATATGTGTGTGGTTCAGGTTAGCGTACGCTAAATATTAGTGTTTTGGTTGACAAATTTTGACATAAGTTCTAAATGGGACGTGACAGCAACATAATTTATGATTCAAAAACCGAAGCATCACAAGTGAATGTGCTAAATATTGGAAATTTCAATATAGACATACTACAATCTCTGTTATAAAATATTTAGAAAATCCAAAATAATTTAAACATATAAATTATAAAATAAATCTCTTCGGCCAACGGGCCGGGTAAAAAACTAGTATAACTATACATGCATAGGCACATGATCAAGCTAGCACGGCACAATTAGAGTATACCATGAAGACAATGTATATGGATTGACCATGTACAAGCATGAATGCTTCATGGGTCGTACCAGACTTAAACTTCAAGCGCTCGGGCACATGTGCGAGCACCACACAGTCTATATTGGTGAAACTCATGTTTTATGGAGAAATGCGTCATTTGATAAAAATAAAATAAAATATTCTAAAAATAATATATAAAATTTGAATTAATGAGTAGTTTCTCACATCAATGTGTGACGGCTCATATTCTAAAAGGTTTATAAAATACATTCATTGTTTATTTTGAGACTCAAACATTATTCAATGTATACAACTAAAATTTTATTTATAAAATCGTTCTTGATTAACTTCATAGCTGAAAAGTCTTTTTATAGCTTGCAGTAATAACAAACAACGTCAACAATAACTTTAGAAGCAAGTAAAGTGAAGAAGAAATAGAGATTTAGTATTTCTTTGCAAATGTGTGTGTGTGTGCGGAGGGGGGGGGGATTTTTTTGTCTAAAACATTTGAGGAAATGTTCAACTCATATATCATTTGTTTGAATATTGCATATTGAATTGGAGTATTGAACATTTTGGAAGCGATATATAATTCTTAAGTTAGTATTAATTGTCAGCCCTGTTGACCAATAGCCTTAGACCTTTTGCAAATATGACGTGGATCCAATAATCATAAGATGAGATTTAGTTTGATATGACGTTGGTTCAAAACCATTTTTATGTGTAATGAATTTGTACGACAAATACATGTAAAGTGAAGATGAACCTGATTATGCATTTTGATTCTTTAGATAAATACAATGGTTTAAGGTTTTAAGCTATGAACTAACTATACACTCACTCGATTGGTTTAACGAGTTCTGCTATTTATCACTTTTAATAATTAGTTTATTCACAAACTATCAAGCTACTTTGCTCTGTCGATGAATAAACGACCATCTATTCGCCTAGTTCATGAGCTATGATTCACACTATCGACTGTGAATGGAGAAGAAGCATTTCGAACGCAAAATTTGAGGAGTAATTGAGATGTTTCTAGGTTTCTCTCGATTCCAGGCGGTGGGAAGAAAGAGGAAGGGAAAATTGGAGAGTAGTGAGATACAAAGTTGAGAGAAAGAGATGGAAGAACAAAGAGCAAGACAAAGAGAGAGTGAGAGGACACAATTAAAAGAGAAGGAATTTAAGGTAGTGTGAAATAATTGCCCTTCTGCTTTGATTAATGGATATTCTTGACCCTATTCTGTTGAGTTTTAATTTATTTTAGAACATGACATTATGTTTTACAAAATTTTCCATTTCAATTTAAAATTCTAAATCAATATTATCATTTGGAAGATTTTTTTTCTTAATATGATTATTGTAATTTCTAAGATTTAAGGGGTATTTGATAATGTCAATAATTTAGCGATTTTTTATTTAAAGTTTGTATTGAAAGATCGTACGTACCAGCGGTTGGACCATAAAACTTCACATTATAGGCTAAATCGATAGGTGACATTTAGAAATATGAAACGGTTAAACCATAGTTAAATTATGACTTAAGTATAAAATACTGTACTACCAACTTTTTCGATACGGTTTTACAATCCTTTGATGCAAACAATTCCTTTACACTGATGGAAACAAAAGTTTCAAGGCACATTTTGAACTATCTATTGGGAAAAAGCATAAGTCAGTTAGGGATAATGAGAATATGCAATCTCATGCAACCCAAAAGACACTTTGCAACTTCTATCTTTTAAAAATAAATGTATGTTACTCATATCCTCGCTCATTCATCAACTTAATGAGTACCATATATTTCATGTAATATTATTTTCATACTTTTTTATTTATTGAATTATTTCATGAAAAAAATATTTGTTGCATGAAAATTACTACATTGTTGCTAGACATGTCTGCGATCTGAGAATAATTTGGGAAGTTCGTGCACAACACATTGTCCAACTAACTATTAGCGACAGCTTAGCCACATCATGTCCGATATATTTGAAATCAAGCAACTTAAAATTCATTACCAACAGTGTTGTAAAAAAGAATGCTCTCTATTGGGAAAAACTTAAAGGACATACTAAACTCTATGATACATTTTCTTTCACCCTAAAGGTTGATTATGCATGTATTATGAGAAACAACTCTAATATTCAACTTGGTTTAATTAAGTAATGAATGACAATTAGTTATATTTTTTTTTCATTCAGTAATTATATGTAATGCTTATGTTATATTTTTTTCTCTTTTCATGGAGGTCTAAACACATTATGCATAGTTGGATCACTTTTAAAAAATGTTATGTGCATAACTAAGGTAGAAAACAATAATTTCATGCATTTCAAATCATTTACAATATCCATTATTATATAGCATATTTCTTAACAAAATTCTTCCGGCCAATGGGCCGGGCGCTATGCTAGTACTATTAATAGAGTTAATAGCCAAAAGACCGACGGGTCCTTCCGCACTTTTGCGCACAACACTGGAAAAATAGGATGGGGTGGATTATGCTGGAATCTCATTATATATTTAGGAAGATGAGTGAAAAGGTTGAATCATCGCATAAAATTAATTTTTTTAATATTTTTTGCTATTGTTTTTGTTTTCCAATTTATCTATATTTAAAACTCCTTTGATACTTTCTAAAAAAAAAACTCCTCTGATACTTCATAACCTCCTCAATACACTGCTAGAATATATACAAACTAATATGACAAATGGTGTATAATGTATGCGTGTGTTGATACCTATTAAGTGTAGTTCGATGAATTAGAACTGTCGAATTATTATTTTTGAATAAAATGATCTTATGGCTTGAGTTTAGAGAATCAGCGTTGAGGTTCGTCCATTACAGATTAGCATATAATATCATGTCCCCATCCACTTGATAAGATGTGGTGCCGTTTGCCCCTTTTAATTTCACTTTCGATCTTTTTATTGGACATAAATTAACAATCTCTCTTTGCTAGCACTAACATACCGTTTTGTATAAATGAATTCCATAAGTTTTAAGGAATTCATTTTGAAATGAAAACATTTTGTGTTTGGTATTTAAAGAATTCATTTTCAATTCTATATTTTGAATTCTACGAAATTGGAACTAGTTATAGCAATTCCAAGGAATTGAGATGGAATTTCCAAATGAATTCCACAAGTATTTACTAATTATAATAAAATAACATAATTATCCTCATTTATTAATTAAATTACTTATACATATATCATTTGGGGCCAACTCATGCAGTATGAGGAATGTCGACAAGAATTTAATTGCAATGCTAGTAGCATATGTTGGTTATTTGATATTTCTGCTTCGATTGTATAAGTATGTTGAGAAGCCACAACTAGAGTGAAGGGTTCATTGAAAAATATTAGAAAAGAAATAATGAATAGAATAGATACACACGAGAACACTTTTGATATTCTAGTTATGGGACCAAAAACGTTTTTTAGAAGATGGATTTCAATGAATATTGTTTCTGCCAGAAATTAATAAGGGTGTAGTTGGTAACTTTTAGTTTAATTCAATTCTAAACGTATACCACTTCCGATTCCAACTTTCCCGTATGAAGTTATTGTTGATCTTACCTCTTGCAACTATAAGTTGTGAAATAGTCATTTTCAGCTATGAAATTAGTGAAAAATGATTTTCGTAATCGGTTGAGTGAGCAATTTATGAATGATGTTTAGTTGTGTATATCGAAAAATGTTTGATTCGCAAAGTAAGGGACTGATGTATTTACAAACTTTTAAGAATATGAAAAATAGTCGTAGTTCGTTGTAAAAAAATAGTAATATTGTGAATTTTATGAATTAAAATTTTATTCATTAAATTATCGACCGATACACTTGTCAAAAAATCGTGGGTCCACCATTGATGTCAAGTTTATCGTTTCCTTTGCAAAGTAGTTATTGTATTTGGAACTGGAATAAAGTATAATTTAACTTAGCTTAATAAAAATAATTAAAAAGATTAAAGATGCTTGTTCAAACTTTATTTGAAAATGTGTAGGCAATATATACAATAACTTTTACTGCATAATTTCAAACAATAATTTTCTCGTAAAACACTCTCCTAGGACAATAATATTACAAGCAAAAAATATTGTAGGTCGGAGTGATAATAGGGTAGCTTATTTGGTGGCCTAGAAAGACAATTTCTTTAAACCAAATTACGTATCGTTTATTTATTTATTTTCCGATCTGGTTAATTATCTTTTGTATAAAAAAAACTGTAGTTCACTCTCTTAGTAGTTCACTTTCCAACAACTAATCTCTCGGCTTAACTAATCACATAATACAATTGGTTACAAAATATGCTCTATTCCCGCAAGATTAATGATCGATCCGTGTTACTAGCTCCAACCCTATATTAAGTTACCCGTAACAAATCCAATTGCTAGACATTCATATAACAAAACACCAGTAGAGTATTAGTCGATGTTTGTTATTTGTACTCTTCTACTACTTTCCTTTCGTCATTAGGAAAGTTAAATAACAAAATGAACTTTTGCCGTCTGTTCCCACTCCCCAATGTCGACACAAAAGAAAACCCACCAACCCACGAAATCCCTTTCACTATGTAACTTCAATTCTAACCAGAAACCCTCCCCTGAGTCCCCTCTCCATCTATCAGAAAGAGTTGTTTCTTTTTTGCCCAGATTCCTTCGTTCACAACTGTAAATCCTCCCCTGAGAAGCAACACCACCTTCAAGCGCCAAAACCACACGCAAATTAACAAAATCTGTAATCAAACTCCGAAACCGTCGGCCAATTTATCCAACTCCAAGAATCACACTTTCCCAAATTTACCGGCAGAGAGACAGAAAAACAGAGGAGGGCTGCGGCGGCAGAGTAAAGCGGAGCTAAAACAGAGCCCCATTTGGCGCTCCGGTGGACCCCCATCGACGTGTCAGCTCCTCCTTTTTGCATGGCTTCCTAATTCATCCTTCCTCTCCTATAAATTCCACTCCTCAGTCTTCCCCTTTCTCCAATTCCTCCCTCCGCATCCCACCAACGAAAAAGGAACGGAATTAAACCACTAATGGAGACTCATAAAGTTGCCTTCTTTGCCCTGCTTCTGGTCACTCTGTCTTTTCTCGCCGGCGAGGCCTTCCCCGTGAAGAACCCCTTCCATCCCGGAATTGTGATGCCGACGGAGAATGGCCCCGACGACGATGAAGTCGGGACAAGGTGGGCGGTCCTCGTGGCGGGCTCCAATGGGTACGGAAACTACAGGCATCAGGTATGGTACAATTTATGGGTGATTAGTTAGTAGTTCTATTAGCTATTATTAATATGATGATTTAGTGACGGGAGTACTGAGTTTTGTGGCGATATATATATGATTAGGCGGACGTTTGCCACGCGTATCAGCTGCTTAAGAAAGGCGGGTTGAAGGAGGAGAACATTGTTGTGTTCATGTTCGACGATATCGCTAACAACGAGCTCAATCCCAGGCCTGGGACCATCATCAACCACCCGCAAGGCGACGACGTTTACGCCGGCGTCCCCAAGGTGAAGGATTGATTAGTACACTTAACTTTGGTTGATGATAGGTTCCACATTTGCACAGCAGCCTGGATTGCACCAGTGTCTCCATCTTTTCTATAAAGGAAGAATTTTTAGTTTAAGGGATTTAGGGGTTTATTTTACATTGATACTTTGTGTTTGTCCTTTTAAGTAGAGTAGGTACTTAACGAGTGGTTGGATTGTAGTCGATAGCGATGTGTAAATTAAAGGGTTTTAATTTGATGATTAAATCTTTGATTTCGGGACAAGCAATAAAAAGAAAAGAACTGACGGGTCAGGATTGCTTCAGGGGGGTTTCTTAGTTACTTAATTACTGCTCTGTCATTATCATGGTTTTAATTAAAATACTGAATCTATGTGGCACCATAAATCAATAAAAACTTGCCAAAGCTTAAAGACTTAGGATTGATTTGATCATTTGGTGCAACAGGATTACACGGGGGAGAATGTGACCGCGGAGAATCTGTACGCGGTGATCATGGGTGACAAAGCTGCAGTGAAAGGGGGAAGCGGCAAGGTTGTGGCGAGCAAGCCCAACGACCGGATTTTCTTGTACTATTCGGACCATGGCGGCCCTGGTGTTCTTGGTAAGTCGGGTGGAAACAATAAAGGCCAAGTTACAAGGTGTTGAGGATAGCTGATTGAGATGTGCAACTTATGCTTGACTGTGCCACACTGCCACTTTATCTGTTCAGGGATGCCGAACATGCCTTCCGTATACGCGATGGAGTTGATCAATGTGTTGAAGAAGAAGCACGCAGCTGGTAGTTACAAAGAAATGGTGATCTACGTGGAGGCCTGCGAGAGCGGCAGCATCTTTGAAGGGATCATGCCCACGGACTTGAACATCTACGTCACCACTGCGGCCAACGCACAGGAGGCCAGCTTCGGGACTTACTGCCCCGGGATGGACCCGTCCCTTCCCCCGGAGTACATCACTTGCATCGGGGATCTCTACAGCGTCGCCTGGATGGAAGACAGGTCAAATTTACAACAATGGTGTCCTGCAACTCTGTCTTTGTACACATATATATCTATGTCTAATTACCATGATGAACAATCGATGTCGCGCGCGATATACGATCGAATTGACCTCCTCATCAAATCTTTTCCCCAATTCCTCTGGCATTCAGCGAGACGCACAATCTGAAGAGGGAGACGGTGAATCAGCAGTACAAGGCTGTGAAGTCGAGGACCTCGAGTGGCGGATCCCACGTGATGGAATACGGGAGCCAGGGGATCAAGCCGGAGAAGCTCTACCTGTACCAGGGCTTTGATCCCGACAGCGTTAACATCCCTCCACGGCCCAGCAATGTTGGGTTGTCGAGGACGGATGTTGTGAACCAGAGAGATGCAGAGCTTCTCTTCTTGTGGCATATGGTAAAGTGTTTCTTACGATCAAATCAAACCATACATTAATAAGTCCTACTAGATGACCAAATAAAAATGTGCATACCACATGACATGCTCTGTCCTGTGATGCTGTTTCTCCAGTACAAGAGATCGGAGAACGGATCTAGGAAGAAGGCAGAGATACTGGACGAGATCAGGAGGACCGTGACGTATAGGAACCACTTGGACGGCAGCATCGAATTGGTTGGGACGCTCTTGTTCGGACCCAAAAACGGCCCACAAGTGCTCAACAAGGTCAGGGGGCCCGGATCCGCGCTGGTGGACGACTGGCAATGCTTGAAATCGATGGTGAGTTAATCTCGTATTACCGTCGCATCGCATCTTGCAGCCAACATTGAATTGAAGCATATTGATGAGTTGGTTTGTGGATTTTTTTTTGCTGCAGGTGAGGGTGTTCGAAGGGAAATGTGGGTCACTGACGCAGTACGGGATGAAGCACATGAGAGCATTTGCCAACATCTGTAACAGTGGGGTGTCCAAGGCGACGATGGAGGAAGCGTCAGGCGTGGCGTGTGCAGGGTATGCAGCTGGGAATTTGAGCCCGTTGAATGTCGGATTCAGTGCTTGAAAGATGAAGAAAATGACCATCTCTACATATATCTAATGGATTGTTCTGATGCTATACTAGGCAGGGCATGGGAGACTAAAAAGAGGTAAGCCGTTGGGATATATGGGTTCTGTAAATAAGGGGGTTGTAGAACCTGTTGTTGTGTACTTGGATGTATAAGGTCGTGAAATTATTATATGAAAAAAAGGTGAAATGAGTATTTGGTAAACCATTTCCGGTCGAGGTTTCAGATCTTGTTGGGCTTCACCTGGGTTGGGCTTTATAGATTGGGACATTTCTCATCTTCTCGTGCCAAAATTTTGTTGGGCCGGCCATGTCGGAAGAATTCGACCCAATCGCTAGAAAAGATAGTGGTTCTGGACTTCTGGTGGCCTTCGTTGACTTGTTCCTTCCTTCCTGCGGTGATTATCCGAAATGGCGGCTCCAAAATGCGCGGCCAGAGCGACCTTTGGTACGGATATATAGTCAACGTTTAACGAAATGATTTGTTGGGTGAACCTTCCTATTCATAGAGTCAGCTTTTGTGCAACCGAAGGGCAAATACTATTCCATTAGATCAACAAACTTGGGAGGTTTGACTTGTCATTCATTAATGATGAGTAAATCAGGATCTTTTAAAATCCTAATAAGAAATGCAACTATTAATTGTACTTTTCGAAATTGTACTACATACAAAATACTTAAGACAGAAACTAGGAGGGATTATAGTTGGGGACAGGTTACGGTGATTACTACTTTTGGTTACTAAGGGTAAATTGGATATGAAAAATAAATAGTATGAATTAAATTTTTTAATAAATTAAATTTAGGTAGTTACAAGAATCTATTAATTACAATTCTCTCTCTTTCTCTCACTTCCATAATCTCCAGCCAGATCCTCTTTCCTTATTTTTCTCAATCTTTCTGCAAAAGAAAAAAAAAACACGAAATCACTACCAATCCATTAGACAACCACTACCACTTTGAAAAATATCAATACCATTGCAGAAAGAAATTTATACCATTACACGAAAACTACCAATATAAACAATCTACCAATATAAATATATACCATTTCACAAAAAATCAATACCATTGCAGATTTGATCAATACCAATACATGCAAATTAATACCATTCAATGATAATCAATACCAATGCAACGAAAACAATACTTATGCGAAAAAATGCTACCACTACGAAAAAATTACTACCAATGCGAAAAAAAATCATATCTAGAATTTTTATTCATCCCACCTTTTCCAGCCGCCTGTGTGAGAGAGAGATTGCGAGGGGAGTGAGTGAAACCTAGCTGACCCCTTAGTGGATTTCATGAGGGAGACGCCACGCTCGTTGCTCATGACCTTGGTTCCTCGTCATCGTCGTCGGCTGCAGTGGTAGGGAGGAGGGATGGCGGGGGAAGGGGATGGGGGTGGTAGGCAAATGGGGTTGTGGGGTGGGTCAAAGGGAGGACGGTGGTGGTAGGCAAATGGGGTTGTGGGGTGGGTCAGAGGGAGGAGAGGTGGCGGCTATGAAGATAGTTGCATTAGGGTTTAGGTATAATATAGAGAGTAATGAGGTGTGTTGCTTTTTCATTTTCAAAATTATCCTTAATCTAATTTTTACCGTCAATTTAAAAATAGGATAAAATAAAGATAATAAAGGGTGTAGATTATGGTAGCCACCATGGTTACTCAAAATTGAATAACCACGCTAACCTATTCCATTATAGTTGCACTCATTTTTTAATACACGTAAAACTACATGTAAAATTTAACAGATTTAAAAAATAAAGTAGTCGACTAATGATATAGCATTAACCTCCTTTAAAATTATAATTCAAATTAGTTTTCTCATTCAAATTCCTGACTCCGTCTTAACAATGTACAAAATACCCACTTCATATCGTGGTATCTCATTGTATATTTCAATGTTGAGTGTTGAGGCCATGGAAAGGAGAGTTATCAATTTAGTTGGAGGACAAAGACTAGTGTATTGACCATTTTAAAAAGCTATGGAAGTTCGGTGAGTGTGTTTGGTGCTTTTTAATTTTTATTGAAGAATAAAAAAAGGCGGAGTGTCCTAATTTATTTTGGTTGTTTTTTTTTGTTTTGTCAATTTCTTGTATTTCACAAATATGACGAATAAATTAATTGACAACTCAGCCAGTACGGCTACTTTGATGTTTACGTACGGTCAACTTTCCTGTATTTTCGAAGGAAGCTTGTTCCACTTGCGCTAAACGAATAAAGATGCATCAGCAGCTTTGCTTCTAGTGGAGTATAAATATGTGTCATCTTTTAATCCGCACTGTTATTTAATGGTTCGAGAAATATATTATATCCACATGACGTTAAGATCCATACTCATTTACTTTTCATGTGTCCTTTATTGTTAGTATGATTTGGAGTTCCATTATTTCTCGACGAATATGATACTTCAAAAATAAATTTTTTCGTATTTGATAAATATACTTGGATACAACATACAATGTTACATGTTTATAGCAAAAAAAAAAAAAAAGCATTTCTTGTAAAATAAAACATCACTCTTATTAATATATAGGTTAATCGTAAAGGCATTGACAATTCCGAAGTTCATGGAAGTTTATATATAGCTGTAAGTTGTGAAATGCAAAACAAAATTAAAGCTTCTTCATTTTTCTCCACTTAATCAACAAAATTAAAGCTTTGGGATCTCAGAAACTATAATTCCAAGAAATGAGAAATGCGGAACAAGAAATATACTTGAAATTTTCCTTCTTGCCTTGTTCAGTCCTGAAAAAAAAAAAAAAAAAAAAGAAGAAGAAGAAGGACAAAGCCATAGGACGATATTTGCCCTTAACTCCATTTTATTATTAATATTTGTTTCCCTTATTAGAAGACAGAACAACAAAACATTCATCTTTTCAGACTTTTTCCAGCCTGTTATGCTTGAATTCTGCTTTCACATGAATACGTTCCACTACAAATTTGAGCAAGGATGCGGAATGAAAGTTGATTAAAAGAGTTGAATCCCCCGTAATTGAACAAAGAAGCCTAAGTACTAGAGCTTTGCCAATTATTGTTGTTTAATAAGAGTTGTAACAAATTTCACTTTTTATAATTAACTATAAAATTTGAAATTTGAGACAGGTCATCAGAACACATCACAAGACCATATGGGTGGCGAGGGATATTTTTTAGTTCAATAATTCTCTAATAATAATGTACGGAACCAATGAGGTAATTAAGAATTAAGATAAGGATTAGACCAAACTATTCAATGAGCTTTAATCAAAAGGAAATGGAAGAAGATAATGATAATATTTTGATCTGTGCATTTGTGATTTGTTGAAAGGAATTAGGATTATATATGGATTTATCTATGGGGGTTCCTCATTAAAGAATCCAAAACATCAACTCATCTTCATACCGACCAAAATCATCCTATGATCAATTTCTTCCACTTATGTCACCAAAGATAGGGTAGATTAGACTAGTAGTTTCTAAGGGGGAAAGACTTGTTGGATCGATCGAGTTAGAGAAAAATGTTTACGTATGCATTTGATAATGTTAGTTGAAATCTTACATCCACTTGTACATCAATATTTGTACGATTAGTTGACTGAGGGACATACACATTAATAATTTACAGCTTTTAATATAGATGGGGCACATAACCCTACTAATTTCTAGTCTTGTAGATATAAATTTATACTTTGAAATTTTTTCACGCTCCATACGACTTGTATAAACCTTTTCTTATATATTTTCTCTCATCCATAAAAATATATGCAGCAAAATTGTATTAAATTTTTCCCAAAAAAACAATTTATTTATTTCCCTTTTTCTAAATTTTTGTAGGTCAACCACCATACGTACTAATACACTGGCCTATTTATTAATCTAGCTTAGGAAATGGATCACATTTTCTCTGCCGATTAATGGCGACGAAGAGAAACGTACTTAACCGTTGAATTTTCCCATTTATGAAACCAATTAACCCCGTTTCCTTATTTTTCCACAATAATTCTTAATTCATCACCTTTGTCTAGGGATGGCAATTTCGACCTGACCCGTTTTACCCGACCTGTTTGACCTGTTTTGGGGCGGGTCGTAGGCGAGGCGGGGCGGGCATGGGTAGTCTCATCGACCCGACCTGCCCTGACCCGCCCCATTCTCGACCCGTTCTTGTCTAAATTACATGTAATCTTAGTCAAATTACTTAGATTTTCCCTTTTATTGCATCATATTTTAGCTATAATAAAGTTGTAAATAAGTAAAAACTTCAATTTCTCCAATAATTTAACTACAATTGTCATAATATTGTTTGTTTTCTTAGTCTTATAATAAAAATACGAATATTTCTTTTCATATAAATTACATACCCATTGAGTCTACCTGCCTCAACCCCCGACCCGTGATCAATTACCCGACCTGGACCCAACCTGCCACGAGGCGGGTCTGGATACCAAGAAACCCGCCCCGAACCTGCACATTGCCATTCCTACCTTTGTCTAACTATCCAATCCACGAAACTTCGTCTTACTATTAACATATCATCCGCTTTGGAAAATTAATAATTACAAAAAAAGACGAAGAAGGAATTAAGAAGAAGAAAAAAAAACTCCAAATCAATCTAACTAAACCGCACCGTCGGCGGCGGTCAACCCCGCCGCCCCCAGGCGTCGATCCTCATCTTCACCTTCTCAAACTTTTTATACCCGATCGGGATGCTGATCCCGCCCGTCTGGTCGAACCCGTAAACCCGCTCCGCCTCCTCCAGCAGTTCCCCGAACAGTGGGTGGTTGAAGTACATCACGGGCACCATGACCCGCCTCGTGTCGCCGTCCGATTCCCCCACGTACACCGCCAGGTGCCCCTTCTTCGGCGCCGAATCCTCCACCGGCTTCACCCGGCCCAACCGGACGCAATCCCTCCTCCGACCCGAATTATTATTCACCGTCTCCAGAGCCCTCCGCTGCAGGACCCGGATCATCGACAGAATCCCGGATATCGGGTTCTTCACTGATCGAATCGCGCTTCTCGGTCGGATTACCCACCTGAAGGCCGTCCCGATTTTCCTCCCCAGCTTGATTCCTCTCGCCTTCTTCTTCTTCAATGTAATTTTCTCGTTTTTCATTTTAAAGATCTGTTTTTTTTTTGGGCTGATTATTTTCCAGGTTCGGGTTCTTTTAACTGGCGGGTTAGGAAGAGAAGTGGGCGCCGGGGCGGGTATTTATAGAGCTGGGGGGCCGCACGTGCGGGGAGGACATGACCCGACACGTGGGAGGGCAAGGCAGAGACGGGTCGGGTCGGGTTGCTACCCGCTGGGCGGCGGCAGAGGATTAGTGGATTACAGGACAGACATTATCAATTGATACAAAAGATTAATTAATTAACTTATGGGGACAAATGGCAGCGGCTAAGAGGGTAATTAATAAGATTTGTACTATCTAGGGGCAGGGGCTAGCCGATTAAGGGTATTTTCTGACTGTGATTAAGTGATTATGACACAGCCACACAGGAAATTTAGGGAGTAGTGGGAATAAGTGAGAGCAAGAGGCAGCATAGATGATGCACGGTGCTGTGTCGTTAAGTGAGCAAGGATTGTAATTAATAATTAGATTAGCGGCTGATTTGTGTTCAATGGATTTGGGTTATAGAGGACAAGACAAGATATGCCATTGTCCATTGATCGGAAATTACAAGGAAGCAACGGAAGAACAGTACAGAAATAAAATAACGGATTTTCAATTTTTTAACACGTATGATTATTGCTTGATTTTGTTTTAACGGTTCGGTTAGAGATAGTAACCGTGAAGCTAACGATGGGATCGATACTACAATAGCTAATTTTGACTGTTTATTAATGTTGGTATTTTTGTGAGATAGTAATTTGGAAGGTGAATATAAGATATTTGTATGAGGGTAATTGGAACAAAAATATTCGATCATTAAGTTACTGTACTACTATGGTACTATTGGTCTTTAAATTTCTTGGTGAATAAGTGATGAGATTTCACCACTGTCACAGTTATCGGCTTCGCATCTCACCGCTCACCGGCTCTTCTTCCCTCCCACTTAGTGGCGGATCCAGAATGTATTTATAAAGGTGCCCTCTTTAAAAAAGTAAATGATTAATAATTAAATTAAATAATTTATAAATAAGAAAATACATGACTAGTACAAATATTAACAAAAGGCCACGACGTGTTTTCATATTCTGAAAAATAATATAAAATATATTCGACGTCTTTACTGCTCAACAAATCTATATATCATACTAGACAATAATTCACGAACTGATCGCATATTCAAATTCTAACCTTGTTCTTTATGTAACTCAAATTTGAAATACTCTTTTAACTCTTGCCGTGTAACTATAAAATCAATTCAAATTACGGATAGCCCACAATTAGTTTAATTGTTAGGTTTTAAAAATAGTTGGGGATAAGGAATAGGGTATGCCTACGGTGACATGCATGTCACGGTGACTTGCACTTTCCGGTCGACCTCAGTTAGGATTAGGTCGACCTCACATAGAATTCGGTCGACCTCATATAGGATCCGGTCGACCTCATTTAGGATTCGGTCGACCTCATATAGGATCCGGTCGACCTAATATGTTGTTTCAGTGTAAAAACAGTTCATGGTGCCTACTTTGGATATTCATATCATACAATTGGCTAGATGGAAATTGAAGACTAGTGACTTGTTTTGAAGCTGGAGTGTCCCTCTACATATTGAAGTGATTGAGAGCTCGATAGGAAGTCCAGAAGACCATTTTTGAACCTCATCAAAAGGCTATGCCAAAACTGGGAAACTGCCTAGAAATGGCTAAGTCTGGAAACGTGTTTGTGAAGTCTATTTTTTAGCTCAATTCGAGAAGCATGAATGCGAGTCGAGTCCAGGAGCCTCTACCACATTAAATTAGGTATGTTTTTATACAAATTCAAGGAATTGGATGAAAGATTGGATATCTTTAAGGCTTCAAACAAAAGGGTCAAAGTTGCTACGAAGGCTGTTTTTCTGGCAGACTTCGAGCACAAGCAAGTTGCCAGAAAAACAGCCTTCGTAGCAACTTCGAGCCTTTTGTTTGAAGCCTTAACGATATTCAATCTTTCATTCAATGCCTTGCCTTTGTATAAAAAAATACGTAATTTAACGTGGTAAAGGCTTGACTCGCATCCATGCTTGTCAAATTGAGCTCCAAAGTAGGCTTGACAAACACGTTGCCAGACTTAGCCATTTTCAGGCAGTTTCCCAGTTTTGGCATAGCCTTTTGGTCAGGTTCAAAAATGGTCTTCTGGACTTTCTATTGAGCTCCCAAGTACTTTAATGTGTAGAGGGACACTTCAGCTTCAAAACAAGCCTTTAATCTCCAATTTCCATCTAGCCAATTGTAAGATATGAATATCCAAAGTAGGCACCATGAAACTGTTTGTACACTGAAACAACTGATTAGGTCGACCTGATCCTATATGAGGTCGACCGAAAAGTGCATGTCACCGTGACATGCATGTCACCGTAGCAAAGTCCTAAGGAATTATTTTTTTACTATTTCATAGTGTTTAAATAGAAAAACAAATGAGTTGCAACCTAGAGAATATGTTTAATAATAGTAGTGCCCTAGATTTGAATAACACAAACTACCATTTATATTTTTTTAATTTTACACAAACTACTATCATGAGTAGGATAATCATTTTTTTTCAAATTTTAAGGGTGTCCCGGATTACCAATTATAAATTTTTTATACGAAACTACAACCGGGGATTGGATAATCATTCTTCCAAATTTTAGGGGTGTCCCTAACTGTCCATGTATCAGCCACTGCTTCCACCAACATACATCATTGAACAACCAAAATCATATTTAAGATCACGAGTTTCACTAATTTTGCTCTGTTATAAACGTGCTGCTACGGATCGGGAAATCGCCGGAATCGACAAAGCAAGAATACGAAAGCGAGAATCGAAAACACGACACATGATTTACGTGGTTCACTAACACGATGTGTGTTAGCTACGTCCACGGGCGAGAGAGAGCCGATTTCACTATATCAAGGAGATTACAGATTAGAGAGGAGTATGAGAAGTATTTATAGCACTTCTCCATGTGGGTCTAAACCTAATCCAATCTAACAAAGGAAACGGTTATAGCGAGACCCCCGATTACCAGTCGTAGCGGCTGATAGTCCGATTCAAGTCACATCAACATGCTCCACCTTGACTTGAATCCTCTTCCTCTGAAATCTCTGATGTACTATGCTCCTTCTCTCTCTCTCTCTCCCGCCATCAATGCCCCGTAGGGCGGAGTCACCCACTCAAGACATTCAGCAAGTCCTAGCAGTGTTGGAACTTGCCATGTGGAACCGGCTTCGTGAACATATCAGCAGGATTATCCGCGGTGCCAACCTTCTGCACCTTAATCCTCTTCTCTGTCCTCAAGAAATGATACCTCACGTCGATGTGCTTAGTCCTCTCATGGTGGACTTGATCCTTGGCCAAGCATATTGCACTCAAACTGTCGCAATACAGCACTGCCTGATCATGATGTAGACCCAGATCACCAACTAGTCCCTTCAACCATATTCCCTCCTTAGCAGCTTCTGTCAACGCCATATACAGGGGCGTAGCCAGGATTTCGTTTAAGGTAGGTCCGAAATAAAAAATATATATAATAAAAATTATTAATGTTTACAATGATCCACGACGTGTTTTCATATCTTGAAAAGTCTGTAAAATACATTCATCATCCAACCTATCTAAGATGTCACTCTCAACATATGCTACCAAAAAATCATTCAGCCCTTCATCGCTCATTCGACTTCGTAGTGTGTTCTTCACGTAGTTCATGGCGGAAAATACTCTTTCGACACTTGCAGTGGCAACTGGTAACAACAATGCCAATTTCACAAGTCGATACACCAATGGAAATGGTCGAAACTTTTTTGCCACAACCATTTCCCTACAAAGATCAGGAATTCCCTTCAACTTAGTGAACCTGTTATCCGTCTTCACATCAAAGATATAAGTATCAAGCTGAGGATCAAGATGTAAGATATCATCATCAGAGAATTCACTAGGATAAAAGGTAGCAAGTTTTAACAACCTTTTCTTGTCAAAGTCAACAAATGCATCATCTGGATTTAGGCAAGCCACACAACATAGCAATTCAGTGTTCACTTCATCAAAGCGACTGTTAAGCTCTTGCAACTGCATATCCACAACTGTATAGAATAACTCAACCTTGTAATGATGCATATTGGTGATTTGTTGAGCATTTCTCCTTGGCCTTCCAGAAAGAATGTATAACTCATCCATGTTGGAAATAGGAAGACATTCCTTCTTGCAAAACAAAACCACACTATCAAGAAGAGACTCCCATCCTTTATCTCTCAAATCTTGTAATCTAAGTTTTGCCCCACGAACAAGGTGCATGGCATTCACTATGTCTTGATCTTTCCTTTTCAATGATTTAGATAACTCATTGGTAATCGCTAAGACTTTAATCATCACATGCAAGATGAATGCAAAATCAAAAGTTTTGATGCACATCAATGTGACATATGCCTCACCTTTTGCCTCACCTTTTGCCTCACTTTTGATGATGTCCAAACAATCAATAACAGAAGAGTATATCACAGGCAAGTTAAGAAGTGTGTCAAAATGTGATCCCCAACGAGTATCACAAGGCCTTTTAAGACCAACTTCCTGATTTAAACCCCGTCCAGTCTCAAGTTCACCACAACATAATGCCTCAACAACTTTAGCAGCCTGACTTTCTCGAATGTTGTCCATCCTCTTACACGATCCTCCTACCAAATTTATCAAGTTGGTAACAAGTGTGAAGAAGCCACTAACATCACCATGTTGTTTAGCAACAGCAACAAGTGTTAACTGGAGTTGATGGGCAAAACAATGAACATAGTAAGCCGATGAATTTTCTGCCAAAATTAAAGCCTTGAGCCCATTGATTTCCCCACTCATATTGCTAGCTCCATCATAACCTTGTCCTCTTATTCTTGACAAGCTCAATCCATTCCTCACTAGTATCGATTCAATTTCCATCTTAAGTGTTAAGGCTTTAGTATCTGAAATATGAGCAATCCCAAGAAGTCTCTCCATCACATATCCT